CTTCATAGAACATGGATCCCTGTTAGTAGGAGCTCAGTCATTTCTATTTGTTACAGAGGATAGGTTCACCATTGTCCATTCAAATAATAACTAAATGGGGCATGACCAGACCAAATGATTTCAAATTCAGGTATAGCAGTTTAATAGTGTATCTCAGCAGTTGGCCATTTCATAGCTAGACCATCAACCAGTAGAGGAAATGCTGTCTCTTAAAATCAAGGACTAGAAAGCTCTCTTGCTAGGAAATTAGAGATTTTCAGGCATATTCTTTACTTTCCTCTATGTTGATTCTCACTTTGTACTATTATTCATCAATCAGTTCCAATGTTTATTTCTCTTGTCATTTTGCATGTGTGGTATAATAAGACTAAACCTGACATCAGGAAACCTAGGTTCAAACCCTTCTCCACCACTTACCAATTGAGTAACCTGGATCAAATGTTTCTAAATCTAAATTGTCCCATATGGGATCGGAAAATAATATTCTCCCTCACTACTCAAAGTTTTTGAGAGGATGGAATTAGAAAATGTACGTCAAGACAGTATACATTTCAAATTGCTTTGTCTGTATAAGATACTATGATGCCAGCCTATCTAGCTTTATTGACACTTTATCCCACAATTCTATGAGTCCCAAATTCAATTATATCAGAATTCTCACATAAGAAACAAGTGGAGGAAAACGTCACTGGCAAATTGAACAGGGTCTTCCTATTTACCAGCCTTGATCTACATGTAGATTTAGACACTGTGATGTTACAAGGAGCTTAAAACACCACTCAATATTTTACATATTCCTTCCAATGCACCAACAAGCAGTCTTGTTTCTGCTGACACCTCCCCCTTGCCAGCCCTAGTCTTTCCACCTGAAATGGCTTTCCTTTAGCCATGCCTAGTGAAATCCTACTAATCCCTCAAAACCAACTTAAAAGTCACTTCTTCCATTATATATTCCTCAATTTTTCAAATTAAAAGTAAATTTTTGAAATTTCTTTTTGTTCTTGTAGCACCTCTGGTTATATTAAATGTACTCCAGTCTCCTCCCCAAGACTATGACCAAATTGGGTTGGAGGAAGGAATTATTTCTAATTCATTGCTGTATCTTAGTGCCAAATAGAGGCACTGGAACATGAAATTTACTGAATAACTCTGTTACCCTTAGTCATCTGTCTCACACAAGTTAGTCTTTTGTTTTTACCATACCTGCTACATAAGACTCTGTAAGGATATAATTTTCCACTACCAATGAATCCAATTTAAATGCTTCAGTCCCCTACTCAAAAGTCTTCATTGTTATCCATTGCTCCCTCTCATCTTTCTTAACTCCTTATATATGACTTACCCCAGTGTTCCTCCTTCTTATCATCCTGGAGGATATTTTAAATTCCAATCTCTATTTTCCCATATCTTTTGCATCTCATGAAATATCTTTCTTTATCAATCATTTCAAAAATCTAGCTTAAAAGTTTGTTCCTTTAAGAAGCCTTATCTGATTAACTCTTACATATAGTTCTTTATAAACCCTAAGCTTTAAGACACCAGGCCAGTATCCTTATGAAATGAAGAAGAATGTATGACTCCATACTAGAACTGCATTAGGATATACTGCCTAAAAGCAAAACTACCTTAAGACAATTTATCCATACCCTTCAGGCTTAGTTTGTAAAGTATAAAACTAACTGTGCAGACTTATTTTTTAACAGTATATATACACAAACATTTTTCATCCTTACATTGTGTGTGTGTGAATAGTATTTCTTAAAGTACAGATTTTTGCACTATGCCAAGGTTTACAATATGAAAACAAAATGTACAAGCAATTCCTGGTTATTTATCATAATGTCTTTCTGGAAATCATTTTGTAAATTAGATTGCCATAATGTGAATCAAAATTGCTCTTTGAGAAGACATCCAAATGGCCAACAGACACATGAAAAAGTGCTCAACATCGCTCAGCATCAGGGAAATCCAAATCAAAACCTCAATGAGATACCACCTCACACCAGTCAGAATGGCTAAAATGAACAAGTCAGGAAACGACAGATGTTGGCGGGGATGCGGAGAAAGGGGAACCCTCCTACACTGTTGGTGGGAAGGCAAGCTGGTGCAACCCCTCTTGAAAACAGTATGGAGGTTCCTCAAACAGTTGAAAATAGAGCTACCGTACGATCCAGCAATTGCACTACTGGGTATTTACCCCAAAGATACAAATGTAGGGATCCGAAGGGGTACGTGCACCCCAATGTTTATAGCAGCAATGTCCACAATAGCCAAACTGTGGAAAGAGCCAAGATGTCCATCGACAGATGAATGGCTAAAGAAGATGTGGTATATATACACAATGGAATATTACGCAGCCATCAAAAGGAATGAGATCTTGCCATTTGCAACGACGTGGATGGAACTGGAGGGTGTTATGCTGAGTGAAATAAGTCAGTCAGAGAAAGACATGTATCATATGACCTCACTGATATGAGGAATTCTTAATCTCAGGAAACAAACTGAGGGTTGCTGGAGTGGTGGGGGGTGGGAGGGATGGGGTGGCTGGGTGATAGACAGTGGGTAGGGTAGGTGCTACGGTGAGCACTGTGAATTATACAAGACTGATGAATCACAGATCTGTACTTCTGAAACAAATAATGCAATATATGTTAAGAAAAAAAAGAAGAAGAAGATAGCAGGAGGGGAAGAATGAAGGGGAGTAAGTTGGAGGGGGAGACGAACCATTAGAGACGATGGACTCTGAAAAACAAACTGAGGGTTCTAGAGGGGAGGGGCGTGGGGGGATGGGTTAGCCTGGTGATGGGTATTAAGGAGGGCACCTTCTGCGTGGGTCACTGGGTGTTATGCACAAACAATGAATCATGGAACACTGCATCAAAAACTAATGATGTAATGTATGGTGGTTAACATAACAATAAAAAAATTATTAAAAAAAAAAATTGCTCTTTGAAAGACTAGTGCACCAGTAATGAACTCTGACAAAGAACTCAGAATCAAATTACTCATAGATATGACTAACAGTATTTTAAGACATATTAAAAAGTACAAGGTTATTTAATAATTCAAAAAAAGTTTTAATTTTAACAATTGTATAACTCATTTTCTATAAAATGTTTTAAAAGACCTAGATCATACACTAATCTTCAAGGGTTCTGAGAGGACATGGAAATATTTTTTAATCAAATCTACCAAGCTGGCTATCATAAACAGTTAAACAGTTATTTTCCTAAAAATTTGTGGGGTACACCCCTCCATCCTGGGATGATGACTAAGCCTTGGGTTTGGCAACACACTTCCCTTATACTGAGTGGCCAAAGGCCCTTGATTTGGGCTCTGATCTATGACCTACAATCTATAGATGATAAAACTGAAAAGCAAATATACAAAGCCCAATATTGCAGGTAAATAGGAAAGAGCACAAGCTTTGGAATAAGTCCATTTGGTTACACATTCCACCCTGTAGTTGTGCAAATAGGTTAGCTATTTAAACTCTAAACTTCAATTTCCATAGCTGTAAATTAAGGACAATTATACTTAATAACAACTAAGTGGTTGCTCAAAATCAAGTGAAATAAAGTACATGATGTGCTCAGTAGGTACCAAGTATATAGTAAATACCATATAAAAAACCTAGACTGACCTCAACAAAGGGCCTTGTAAGCTGGCCAATAGCAGAAAGAATGCTGGCTCTCATAAATTCTGATAGACACGTGTCATATGAATAGATATATGGCCTAATGAGCAGTTAATTATTTCTGCATGGGAAAATTTCCAAACTACAATAATCTCACAGATGCTCTAAGATTTGGAACTTGGAGCCCTTGATCTTTCATAGTTGTTCAAGTGCTGGAGCCAAGGCAAAACTGAGTCCAGTTTTAGACATTTTTGACTTTGCCTATGGCTGACCCTACAGAATAGCTATCTCTTCAATCCAGAGTCTTAAATTCCTTAATTTTAATAAAAGTATGAGAACTCTATACTCCACTAAGTAGATACTAAGACACAGGAATCTTTCCTTCATTACTAACATGGAATAACCCCACCTAAGGATTTTTGCCAGAAGTTACCTGTACTACCTCTTTGCATTTTTTTCTAGAAAACATATTTTTATTAATAATATCTGAAGGTACAAATGGACAAAGAATAAATACTCCATCATTTCCTCCCCGCACAGCTGTGAGTGACATCACAGGACCTAGTGTGCATTCGGAGTGGGTTTTCAAAGCTTGGGAAGAAGACAGAGAAGCAGCCAGCCTCCGGGCTTTGGGCCGCCTCAGCGGGTCACTTGGGGTGTCTGTGGGGAAGTTTGGGCTCCCGGTTAGAGGGGATGGGTGGTGGCCACACTGGAGGCCCAGAAGAGGTTTCTGGGCAGCTGCACAAGGAGCCCCGAGCTTAGCAGCACACCCCAAGCCCTTCTAAGGCTGGAGTGACTGTGCTCCTCGCCCCCTGGACCCACCGCGCCCACCGTGCCCACCGCGCTGCAGGGCCCGGGGGCATCCACCTGCCCACGCTGCCACGGTGCTCACCGGCGGCCAGCCCGCAGCTCCTCAGCCAGCCACTGGGGCTCCTCTCCGCGCAAACCCGACAAACCCCTGAAGACCTGCAGAGGAACCTTCCAGCACTCTGAGCCGGGGAGAAAAGAGAGCACTTCACTGGCCCCCACAGGCCTCAGCCCCAGTTCTGCAAGGTGGCGGTTCACCTTCCCGCCAACTTGCCGGGGGCCTCATGCAGGTCAAAGGGCAGAAGGAATGCGACCAGCAGGCTGAAACCGCAGCAGAGCCACCAGCACTGCCCGTGCCGCAGCACCCTCTGGGCGGGAGTGCCGGCTACTCGCTGCTGGATGCCCTCCAGACCCAGGCCAGTGAACAAAGCCCCCGCATCTCCTCACGTCACGATGGCCTTGCCAGCAGCAGAGACCGGTCTCAGACCCCACGTAACACGTAACCAGAGTCCCGGGCAGGCAACGGTGGGGAAAACACTGGGAACGGACACGCACCATGGCTCATGTGGCTGTGGGCTATGACTGTGACCCTGAAGAGGGATGGTGGGGCGGCCCAGTCCCCCCGCCGGGGGCAGAAGCGACCCCGAGGCCACATGTGTGGTCAGAGAGACTAAGAGTCCTCACATGTAGGAGTCCAGGCCGCCTCAGTAGGCGACCCTCCGGTGCATGGGCTGCTCACACACTTCCTCCGTGTCCCCACAGAAGCAGTTGCACGTCGTCTGGACGCCGAGCCCGAGGAGCTCTCTCTCCTTGAGGATCCGGAAAGAAAACGTGGAGACCGAAGTACCAATGGCATGCGAGCGGATCCACTGGTCGATGATGGCCACGCTGCCGTCCCTGTAGAGCTCCATCTCCTCCCACGTGGGCTCGAACTCACCATCTCCAGCAATAGCTTCTTCAGCTCCTCGTGTTCCGTTCTGATGCGTCTGTGGCCACCAACACCTTGTCCAGCTGGTGGGTCTTGCTGAGGCTGCAGATCTTCTTCACAGTCCCATCCAGACTGGGCACGGACTCCTCTCTGTGGCCCCAGATGAAATCTTTTCTCATTTCACCTTGATTTCAGGTGAACTGCGAGGAGCAAAAAGGCTTCTGAAGGAGCAGCCAATTGATCTCCTCAGCACCCAGCTGGTTCCTGATCTCTCCTTCCATACTAGAATGAACCTCTAAATGCTGGGCACCTAACCACCACTGCTACCACTGAAATACAAAAATATGATATTGACCACCAAGAGCTATTTAGAAATGGTAATTAATTTTTAAGAAATAGCCTGTAGTTCTCCTAAAGGTTATTTCAACACTAGAGACTGGATTCCTGAACTTGATAAAAAGATACAACTTTATTAGAAAACTGAAAATGAAAGGTGAAAAGTGATGAAGTAGAAAAAGGTTACTTCTATGTATATATACCTATAAAAATATACACATATACCTAACGGCATAGATACATAGTTATAATTTTAAAAAGCACAATGGAGGAAAGAATAGTAAATTCATGATATCTCTCATAATGTGTTTCCCAAGCTAACTTTTGAGTAAGCTTTAATGTCATGATTTTGGCCAAGACTATAATATGTAAAACTTTTAAGATTTCACAACAGAGTCAGGTTTAGTGAGGATATTTGTGAAATAAAAATGTCAAGGAAAAATGAAAGCTTCTCAAAGATATTATAAATCTAACTGTAAAAATTACCTAACATTTTATTTTCAGTCATAAAACTCACTTATACATACTTACACAATGTTAACCATGGAATATAATCCATTAGAATCCAGTTATTCATAGCAGAACACACCAGAAAGGACCAGAAACTAAAACCAGTTCCATTCCCTGAGATAGTTCTTAAAGTGTGTTCTGTAGACCACTTGCTTTAGAATTACCTGGGAAGTCAGTTCAGAATGCAAATTCAAGGGACCCACTCAGACTTCTAGAATTAGAATTTCTGGAATTAGAGCCCTGGAATCTGATTTTTTTTCTAAGATGCCTTGATTCTAAGTGCGCTTAAGTTTGAGAATCACAGCAACAGGAGAAGGCAAGTGAAAAATAGTTTGAGCTACTCGCAGGGAAGTTCATTGTAACAGGCAATGAAGAGTATCCAAAGAATGTAGCAACAAGTTACTCAGTCCAAGCAGGCAGCTGGCAAGATGAGGTAGGTATCCTCCACAAGTCCATCAATGCAATTGGGTTTAAAGCATCACTAAATGTTAACTATGTTAATGCCAACTTTTTTAACTCTATGGCTCATTTTTTGCATTTATAAAATAAGAATAATAATAATACTTTAAATCATAGAATGGTTATGAGGATGAAATAATTTAACACACATAAAGCACTCAGAGCAACATTCAACACACAATAAGCTTTCAATATATATTAGGTCTTATTGGTCACAAAGCAGTTCTCTTGAGATAAAAATCATTGCATCAACTTTGAAAATTATTACCCAGTTCTGTGAAACTATTCAAGTCATGAAAATAGAGTATTTTTTACACATGAAGTGACATGTGGGTATTATATATCCTATTCTTAATAATTTGTTAAATAAGAACAATTCATAACTTTTTCTCCTGAAAAGTCAATTCTGAAATTACTATTTTACCAAGTTTTGGCTCAGTTGCTAAACAAAATTTCTCATAAGACATCTCCATGAGATAGAATTTTCCCATGAAAATGTGATCACCAGTTGAATTAACCAAGCTCTGTTTCCATTGGATAGAACTTTCTGAAGTCAAGTCATTTTCCCAATTCTTCATCACAGTCACAGCTTAGAATTGTTTTTTAATATTCATTTCACAATCAGAAGCCTTCTGAAAAAGTCGTTGCCACAGGAATTCCGGTACTTTGTATTACTTACTTCTTATGTGGAAAACACTGAAGTGACTTGAGGTAACATCACATAGAAATGAGTCAATCTAAAATTACTGAGTCCTTATCTATGAATACTGCACTGCTAGGAGTAAATAACATATCGTTAGGCATATCCCTGGGCTGTTTCTAAGTAAAACTGTGAGATGAAGTTTAACCTTTACATCATCCGCTCCCTTTTGATATATTTCACTTCTGATGCCTTCTCCATCTGCCCTTCCTAACCTAGATACTATTTTTTTGTTCTCACCTACCCACAAAGCTTACTGTTACAATTTTGCCCCACTGGAAATTATCTGTTCTATATCATATCATCTCATGACCCAGTGTTCCCAATAATGGATATAAATTGATGGGCAGCAGTTTTAGAGGAACTGTTGCAGTTACCCATATCTGAGATTTGGGGGGACTAATCCTTGTCCCCATAGTTTTCTAATACCCTATGAAGAGTAATGGTAAAAAGTATAAGGGTGAAAAAGATATTTAAGAGTAGGCAAATCTCTTAGCAACCATTCATGGAGTAATTGTTTCACACCTGCAACACAAACCCGTAGAAAGAGCAATACACCAAGACCAAAGCTACCTTTAATAGACTAATTTTACCATGTACACTTTATCTTTCATTGGCTCCCACTCCCATTCAACTCAAGGTTTAGTAATAATTTTACCTTTCCTCTTGAATTTCACTCCTTCACTCTGAGTATATGAAAATGAAAGTCATCAAATAAAATTTCTCTCACCTTCCTGCTTTCTAACCTGAAAAGCTACCTGTGCTGCTCCTAGCTATTCCTCCTTTCCTGAGTATCAAGGTAAAACAGTGTCTTCCTCTTTTTGAAGGTTGATACCTATACTTGGATTCTGAGTCCTATATGTGTCCATCTAACTTGAAGCTTACTTTTTATCAATTACTCCCTCTCTCTTTTCATTGGCTTCAAATGGCTTTCCCCTTATGCTATGTTTAATCTTAAAAATTTCTGCCTTAGGCCGCCGCCGCGGCTGCCGCAGCCTGTGGAAGCCTGGAAAAGGGGAAGTGCGAGCGAGCGAGCGACTCAGTCCCCGGGCGGCGGAGGCAGCGGCGGAGGCAGCGGCGGCGGCCGGGGCGGCCCCGGGCGGGGGCGCTGCTGCTGCAGCGGAGGGCAGGCGGTGGCTGTCCGCACCAGCCACGCTGAATAAAAACAAGAAGGAGAAAGAATCACCAAAAGCAGGGAAAAGTGGAAAAAGTTCAAAAGAAGGACAAGACATAATAGAATCAGAGATTTCCAGCAGGAAAAACAGCCTAGCTGCCACGCCGTCAACAGTGTCTAGCAAAATAAAAGTGCCAATCCCTCAGCCCATAGTGAAGAAAGAGAAGCGGCAAAATTCTCCCAGGTTTAATGCCAGCAATAACAGAGAACTTCAAAAACTACCCTCTTTAAAAGATGTTCCTCCTGCTGATCAAGAGAAGCTTTTTATCCAGAAGTTACGTCAGTGTTGTGTCCTCTTTGACTTTGTTTCTGATCCACTAAGTGACCTAAAGTGGAAGGAGGTAAAACGAGCTGCTTTAAGTGAAATGGTAGAATATATCACCCATAATCAGAATGTGATCACAGAGCCTATTTACCCAGAAGTAGTCCATATGTTTGCAGTTAACATGTTTCGAACATTACCGCCTTCCTCCAATCCTACGGGAGCAGAATTTGACCCCGAGGAAGACGAGCCCATGTTAGAAGCAGCCTGGCCTCACCTACAGCTTGTTTATGAATTTTTTCTTAAGATTTTTAGAGTCTCCAGATTTCCAACCTAATATAGGGAAGAAATATATTGTCAGAAGTTTGTATTGCAGTTTTTAGAGCTCTTTGACAGTGAAGATCCTCGAGAGAGAGATTTTCTTAAAATTACCCTTCACAGAATTTGTGGAAAATTCTTAGGCTGAAGAGCTTACATCAGAAAACAAATAATATATTTTATAGGTTTATTTATGAAACAGAGCATCACAACGGCATAACAGAATTATGGGGAGTATAATTAATGGATTTGGGGAGTATAATTAATGGATTTGCCTTACCACTAAAAGAAGAGCACAAGATTTTCTTACTGAAGGTGTTGCTACGTTTGCACAAAGTGAAATCTCTGAGTGTCTACCATCCACAGCTGGTATACTGTGTAGTCCAATTTTTAGAAAAGGACAGCACCCTCACTGAGCCGGTGGTGATGGCGCTTCTCAAATACTGGCCAAAGACTCACAGTCCAAAAGAAGTCATGTTCTTAAATGAATTAGAAAAGATCTTAGACATGATCGAACCGTCGGAATTTGTGAAGATCATGGAGCCGCTCTTCTGGCAGCTGGCCAAATGTGTGTCCAGCCCACACTTCCAGGTGGCAGAGCGAGCGCTGTATTACTGGAACAATGAGTGCATCAAGAGCCTGATCAGCGACAATGCAGCAAAGATCCTACCCATCATGTTTCCTTCTTTGTACCGCAACTCCAAGACCCACTGGAACAAGACAATACATGGCTTGATCTACAACGCGCTGAAGCTCTTCATGGAAATGAACCAGAAACTGTTTGACGACTGCACCCAGCAGTTTAAAGCAGAGAAACTGAAAGAGAAGCTAAAAATGAAAGAATGAGAAGAAGCGTGGGTTAAAATAGAAAATCTAGCCAAAGCAAACCCCCAGGCACAGGAAGATCTGAAGAAGGACTCGCCTGTCGTGTGCCGCAAGTCCGAGCTGCCTCAGGACCTCCACACCAAGAACACCTTGGAGGCTCACTGGGGAGCTAATGAGCTGGTCTCCCAGGACGGGCGCTAGCTCCCCCCCACCCCACCCTGGAGGACCGCGTCGGGCTGGGGATGCCTGTTCTTTCCTGGATTCTGTAGAAAATACATCTTTTTTGTGCCATACAAATAAAAAAAAAAAAATTCTCCCTTAATCTTCATTCATCCCTACCTCCCTTCCCACAGCTTCCTTTGTTTTCTATCCAATTTTCTAATTCCCAACAGTGTCATACAATTTGCTTCTATCCTCCCATCTGGACATTTAAACTTTATTGGTGATGGCCACCACTGACTTCCACGTTGCCAAATCCAATGGACAAATTTGTAGCAGTTGACACTACTGATTAGCCTTTCCTTCTTAAAACATTGTCCTTTCTTGGCTTCTATAACACTATCCTAAATAAAAGAGATTTATTTTTAATCTATTTTACTGGATTTTTTCACTCTGCTCATACCTAAAGTGCTCTATATTGGACCCACTTGTATTTTCACCTTACATTTCCTTTTTGTGTTCTGATCTATTTCCATTAATTTATTGTTTACTCTTTTTTTATTCTCATAAATTTAAATGTATAAAATTGAGTCCCAAATCAGAAACTCTAGTCTCAGATACTTCTGAACTCTACCACCAAACATCTAATATCTCACTGCAATGTCCACCTTGATGTCTTTTTTCCCTGTGGGACATACAGTGATTTAAAAAAAAAAAAATGCTATCTATGTAATCAAACATGCCAGAAATCTGGGAATCATTTTTGAAACCTCATACTTCCTCACTTCCCATATCCCATCAGAGCACTAGGTCCTGTCAGTCTACATCCCAAAGCCATCTATAACCTATCAACTTACTTTCATCCCCATATGCTATCACTGCCTTAGTACAGATTATATCATCTCTTCCTGTAGGACAAACCTGTTAAAGAAGAAACATTTTAAACATAAAATGATGAATTTTATGCAAATATAAAATGAACATTTATCAATGATTTTATTTAACTAATTCATTAATGAGGGAACCAATAAGATGTTGTAATGTGGTCAAAGGACAATTCAAAATACCACACTTATATAGGCTAATCAGGAATGCTGAACTGAATTTATAAATAGTTGCAAAACTGACTTTTTCCACAGCAGGGAGGGAAATTGATTTTCCTTCCACCAGACAGAATTCATTTGCACATCTATGGACAAGAGTCATTTGCATTGCCATGATCTACAATTTACAGTTTTAAATAGCTCAGACAATGAAAGATGCAAACTCCATTGAAACGAATAACCCATAAGGGTGTGCTCTATACACCACATACATTTTGACTGAAGACACCTTCTAATGTTTTTGGTCTATTTCAGTCTTACACAAATTTTTCTGACAGACTACAGCATCTTTACTAAAACTAAAGTCTAATAATTTCTCTCCCCTTTTCAAAATTCCTCATCGGCTCCCCTGCCAACCACAAAATAAAATCCAGTCCAACCCCAACTAAGTGAGATGGACATCATCATCTCCTGATCTCCAGCTCATTCCACCCTCACTTCCACAGGAACTTTATACCACTGGAAGCTACACCAAAATGCTTATTCTCTCTCAACCCCTAGCTCTTTTATACTCATTACCTTTCACATGCTATAACATTTTCCTATAATGTGCTTTTGTCCAACTCATAAAGCCTTATTAATTTCAAAGGCAAGTTCAGGGTTCTATTTTCCAGGAAGATTCTGGACTTTCCAAACAGAGTTATTCATTTCCTCTCTATCAATGCAAATTATTTGTTTTCATATATGACTTCCTTAATAGACTAAGAGCTACCTAGGCACAGAGATTGAAATGTTTATCCTATGGTTATTAACAGTAGAGATGTTAAAATCAGACCTGGGTTCAAATTCTGAATCTATCACCTACTAGCTGAGTGGCATAGGCCACAGTACCCATTTGATCAAACTACAGTCTAGATATCACTGTGGAGGTTATTTTTTAGATGACGTTAATATTAAAATCTGACTTTGAGTAAATCAGATTTACTGTGGGTGAGCCTCTTCCAATCTGTTGAAAGCCTTAGGAGAAAAAGATTGATGTCCCTCCAAAAAGAGGTAACCTGCTACTAGACTGCCTTCAGACTTGTGCTGCAGCATCAGCTCTTCCCTGGGTCTCCAGCCTATTGCCCTGTCCTCTGGTTTTTGGACTTACCAGCCTCCACAGTCAGATGGGCCAATTTCTTAATGTAATTTTTTTATTACTAGAGCTTTGTGAAATAAATGAATTAGTGTATGGAAAATGCTTAGTACAACATCTGGGACATAACAAATGCCACTAGATTTTATATATTATTATTAATCATTTCTATATTTCCAAGACTAAACATAGTACCTGGCACAGTACATGTTTGTTATCTGGATGGATGAATGGTTGGATGGATGGATGGATGGATGGGTAAGAAAATACATACAATATCAGGTAAGATATAGCAATCACTTTAAACTCATACATTACATACTTTCATGTTAATTACATGGTATTTAATGTTAAATGTTACAGGTATTATTCCAAATACTTTACCTGTAGAATATAAGAAACTTGGAGAAAGAGGAAGTGTTTGAGGGGAAACAAACAAGTCTCCAGTATTTAAGAAAAAAAGGACTGGTCTGAGGTTAAAAACAAGAACTACAAGTATATTTTAAAAGGATAGTCAACTCAGGGGTAGGAGAAAGGGGTGATACAAACACTGTCAATGAACTTCCATCTATCAGCCAGTAGATGGAATCCAGATATCCAGTCAGAGTAAAGGTGAAGAGCTCCAAGACATTGAGTCAAGCATGAAGATCCAAGATGGGAATTGGAAGGTATAGCTTTAGAGTCATAGTGCTATCATCTGGACATATAAACATGTCCGTGTCTTTCCTGTCTTTGTAAACAACAAATCTTTGACACGAAGTCCTTCTTAAACTCTACCATCTTTCTTCCCTTCATTGCCATGCTTCTTGAAAGAAAAATCTACCTTATCTGTCATTCCAATCAAAGAAAAGTTGTACCAGGAAGTTAAACAGTCAAGGAAGATTTTTTCAAGACTATTACCATTGGGATTAAGGTTATTTGCAATAGGGCAAAGAAAATGAACTCTAGTGAAATAAAAGGCAGAGGATATTTTAGCATTGGAGGAGGCTAGTGGAATAGTACTGGAAGACATTGGGGAGAGGGGAGGTTGGTCAATCTGATTAAGCCAGCTGTGTTTACTAATTGGCACTAATGAAAATTAGGCTCCTATCCTTCCATAAAGACCAGGAGATAGAGACCTATCTTCCCTGATTATATGCTAAAGGAATGATTTTCAAGTCTTTGAGAAAGACATTCCTGAGGGTTTATAAAACTCTTAAGAGGCTGAGAGACTTACCTCTAGAAGAAGTAGAGAAAGGATTCACAAATACAAACACTTTGTAAATGTTGTAAGAAGATAATGGCCAGGGGAAGAAACCTGTCCAAAATTTAGTTAAGCTGAAGAGAACATTAAAGGACATCTGGTCACGTCTTCATAAACCACCTCTTCTTTATCCAAGCAATTTGATCTCTTTCCCCATATACTAAATGAACTTACTTTTACTAAAATCTCCTCACATGCTAACTCTAATCTCAGTATAACCTAATTTTTATTTTCCTTGGTTTGTCTGTTGCTATAGACTAATATTGCTTTGATATGTTCTCCTCCTCTTAAATTTCTTTGATTTCTTTACAATATGCTTTCCCAGTTCTTCCATCCCTTCAGATATTGCTTGGAGCAATATCTGTTTTGTTTTTTTCTTGTTTTAATTTGTTCCAAGTCTTCTACTCTTACCTCTTTTATTTTTTTTAACTGTATATACTGTTGCACTCAGTTATAAAAAAACCTCTTTCACCATCCCAAGGCAAACATTACAACTTTTCAAAGAAGAAAACATTTTATGTTTGCCAGACACAGAAAGAACATAGCGGTGCATTAAGTGAGTTACAAACTTGTGAAGCAAAGAAATCGTTCTGTGCATTCTGTGGCACTGTAACTTGCAACTCTTCATCAAAATCAAAAGTAACGCAACAGGGGCACTTGGGTGGCTCAGTCAGTTAGGTGTAGGACTCTTGATTTCAGCTCAGGTCATGATCTCAGGGTCATGAGCTTGAGCCCCACATTGGGTTCCATGCTCAATAGGGAATCTACTTGAGATTCTCTCCCTCTCCTTCTGCCCCTTCCACCACCTGTGCACACACACTCTCTCTCTCTCTAAAAATAAATAAATCTTTAAAAAGAAAAAATCAAAAGTAACACAAAAGAAAAACTGCCCTTTTGACAAAATCTACCACTACCATAGCAGTGTAGTTCTCTATTAGCATGACCACTGTCACCATTTCAATGACACTGTGCCTCCACTCCCTGGATGATCTCACATAGTTCTCATCTCCATTTGAGTGTCATTTAAGTATTTACAACTCAACACAACCCAAACTCGGTTTATAATTTTACCCCAAACCTGCTAATTCCACTATGATTTGCCATCTTATAAATGATACTGCTATCCACACAGTATTCATAGACCCTTCCCTTTTCTGTCACCCCCTTCCCAACCTATCACCAAGTCCCATCATGTTTTCTCTCCCTAATAGTTAATCTGTCACATCACTTTACTCCCGTCAATGCTTTGCTTCCATCCTCATTTCTCATCTGGATTGTTTTAGTAGCCATCCAACAAGTATCTCTGCATCCCAAATCCTCTTACTGAAGTGTATCCTTCACAGTGCTATCAGAGAAATTCTTTCTAAGCTGCACATTGAATCATTGTTTAGCTTCCTGGTTCCAAGCCTTTGACATCTATCCACTACCTTCATGATAAATCCAAATTCCTTATGATGGCAAATAGAGTATTTCATAATTCTCTGCCTGCCTCTCCAGCAGCAGCATCTCTCACCATTCTAACCCTCAATATCTACCCCCTGGACAAACTGAACTGTTTAAAGATGTGATGTGTTGTCTATCACCTGCTAGCTTTCCTCTCATGTTGCTCTTCTGGCTGGAA